GTACTGAAGTGTAATGTCACGTGATCAAATAGGCTAATCTAATAGAGTACTGAAGTGTAATGTCACGTGATCAAATAGGCTAATCTAATAGAGTACTGAAGTGTAATGTCACGTGATCAAATAGGCTAATCTAATAGAGTACTGAAGTGTAATGTCACGTGATCAAATAGGCTAATCTAATAGAGTACTGAAGTGTAATGTCACGTGATCAAATAGGCTAATCTAATAGAGTACTGAAGTGTAATGTCACGTGATCAAATAGGCTAATCTAATAGAGTACTGAAGTGTAATGTCACGTGATCAAATAGGCTAATCTAATAGAGTACTGAAGTGTAATGTCACGTGATCAAATAGGCTAATCTAATAGAGTACTGAAGTGTAATGTCACGTGATCAAATAGGCTAATCTAATAGAGTACTGAAGTGTAATGTCACGTGATCAAATAGGCTAATCTAATAGAGTACTGAAGTGTAATGTCACGTGATCAAATAGGCTAATCTAATAGAGTACTGAAGTGTAATGTCACGTGATCAAATAGGCTAATCTAATAGAGTACTGAAGTGTCACGTTTTTTTCGAATTGTTTGGATTTGTTGAAATGGAAAAGGAAAAAGTATCTGTCTACCAAATTTCCTCGTTCCATTGATAGCGAAGATATAAGCGCTATTATGGTTAGGTGATCACATACCTAAACGTTTGTAAATTTATAAACGTTTGTCTGTGGTCGCATATATCTCCGTTATGAGTTGAACTGGCACACTCAACTTTAGCAAGATCGCATTAAAAATGATGCACTTTTAGAATATGGAGGTCAAGTTAAAAAACATTTTGTCACATCATTACTTTGGTACTCTGTTGTCCTGATAGGTCTTTGATTATTTATTAGCTTTTGAATCTGATTGATAAATGAATGGATAAAAGAGTTGAAAATACTAAAAAGAAACTTATACAGGAATGATGTTTGTTTTACAGAAAGAGATGAAATAATTCGCACTAATTTCATWAATGCTGGCTTGGAGCATTTGTTTGTGGATGTTATGGTGGCCGATGCTTCCAGGCAAGTACTTCGACCAACGCCTATCTTTGACGCAATCATCACTGATCGTAAGTGTTTATTTATTTATCTTTTATTTGTTTACTTTTGTTTATTTCAAACCAATGTTTCATTGTTTTCAGCTCCTTATGGAGTCCGTGAAGGTGTTCGCAGTCAAATATCTGAAAAAGAACTTACTGAGAATAGGTAACTATGGCTTTGAAATGACTACATTCAGAGATCTTTAAGATTAGTCTCTCGCACAGCCGCAACTTCCGGTTTCATCCAATTTCCCCCTCCTCTTTTGGGAGGGACAGGAAGCCCGTCAAAAGGAGAGGCTATCTTAWGATAGGATGAAGTATTTTTTCAGTTCTAGCGCACTTGGTTAAAGTTCGTACCGTATTGAGGGTCAGATTTAACAATTCGCAGGCGGTTTTCCATTGTCTGTACTCTTATTGACAATGAAATTGACGTCAAAAATGCTCAAAACTCAAGTGGAACCACGAGCGTAAGCGAGTGCTTTCACTGCAAAGTTTTGAGCATTTTTGACGTCAATTTCATTGTCAATWAGAGTACAGACAATGGAAAACCGCCTGCGAATTGTTTTTTACCATTAAAAAAGCTGAAAACAAAGTAAAACTTTAAAAACAAAACCGTTTCTAGCGCGCGCCGGCTCCTTGCGGAGCGATTCGTCATTTCATCCGTCTGTGCTAGGATTGACAACGGCCCTCGACCAATCAGCGCGCGAGAATTCTACAAGTTATGGTAAAATAAGGTTTGGTTTAGGGTTCTGTTGGGTTCAGACTAAGATTGGTCGGATTGGGGTCCGTTATATGGTTGGGCTAGATGTGACCCAATCATGGTTGAATTGGGACATATTAGGACGGATCATAGTCGTATTCGGTCGAAATAAGGTCTGATTAGTGTTATGATTAGGGTCAGATTAGGTTTGTAATTGTTATTAGTCACCATTAATAATCAATATTGTCATCGCTCATCAGATCAGAGGCAGAGCTTGGTTATCCATCAATACACCTTGGACGGTTATCAGATATTATTCTAAGTTTACTGCACTTCTCGTCACAGTATCTCTGTTTAAATGGTCGGCTTGTATTTTGGTTACCTGTCTACAAACCAAGGTAGTGTAAAGGTTCCTAACCACAGCCAGATGCTAGTTTCAATTCTCAGGTTCCACAATGAAAGAAGCCGTAACTCTWAMAGTGTGACCACCGATAATTTGTACGTTTTCCAATTTCTGGTCAAAGCAGTGTTTACGCTAATATACAAAAGTTAACATTAATTCTGCGAATTGATACAAAAAAAGAATCAAGAATGACTTCTTGGTAGTCATATTTGCTTTGGCGATCGCATAAAAAAAATGGATCACTGGGTGACCAATCCCAGGCTTTTTTATAAAACCTCGCAAATCAGAGAAAAAAAAGGCTTAAAAGAAGTGAAGGGGCGGATCCAGGATTTCCTCAGGGAGGACGGGGCTCTCAGGAGGGGGTACACCCCATAAAACGGGTGTACACTACTGTTGAAACAAAGATTGTGATTTGATAAAATAACAAAGAGAGACAGGCAATACAAAAGACGAAGATGTCCAGTAGAACAATAGACATTGTCTGACATAATCCTACAATTCTTTGTTTTTGTTGTCTCGATCAATCACAAGCTTCGTTCTGACGGTAGTGGTCGACCCCCACAAAAATCACCATGAAGATACAAAATAAGAAGAATATTAAAAGATACAGACCTCAGGAGTGGGTGTGCAATCACCAGCTGGATCCCCCCCTGAAATGTGTAATGGTGTTTATAGCAACAGCAGTCAGTGATAGATAGTCCCTGAGTGTTGCCAAAATTTCTATTATTAAAAAGAGTCTTTTCATATGTCTCAGTTATGTAAAAAGATAAATTTAACACCGTAAAAAAGTATGTG